CCTGATCCGTAGCTTAGATAGTTCCAATCACCCTTTTAGATAGACAACAAAGCGTGGATCCTGTCAAGTACGACGAACGTGAGGGGTGTTAATACCTTCCCCTTGCATAACCGACTCCTGAACCCAAGATTTGGTTGCGATGACCGATCTTATCCCGTTTTCGTTAGGTTTTCTCTGATCATTTCCTTTCCCTCTTTTGGGGATAAATAAAGAACGGTAGCGAATCTTCTGTCTTCCGCTGGCCCTCTTCGCAGTGATGCGACACATATATAAACTGAAATGAAACCCTAGAGAGAGGAGGGACTCTATTCAGCAGCAAAAACAGAATCATAAACACTCACTCTGAAAATTTCCCACCTTTGAATCTCGCTCTCAAAAGCCAGTTTTTTTGTTCTCTCATCACTATCATCACTCTCTAAGCTCAAAGGAAGGAAGAGGAAGGATTTTGTGGAAGGCTCAGACAATTTCAGAGGTTGCAGATCTCAAGTTTTGGTAACATTTTTATTACTTTTTCTCTCATTCTAGAGGCCATGCTAGGTGCATATTGTGTACATCCGAAGCCCTACTCATGATATACAATGTCTGCATAGCTTGTTGTTTGGTTGTGTTGAGTTTCAATTTTAGATTTCAAACTTTTCCTCTTCGATTCACCATGAACACATGATCATTTTTAAAAAATAAGGGTGGATTTGGAATCTACGTGAAATTATGAGTTAAGGGACAATCTTATTTTTCATTTCTGGGATTTTTATTATTATAACTATTTTATTTCTGTTCAGTTGTGTCATTACATGTATTGTCGAGTCTTTATGTGTGGTTTCAACTGTTTATTGATTTTTTTCCCACTTTCTTGAGCCATAATGAAAAATTTTGTTTTTGGAAATTCATTGCATCTTTTGAAAGTTTTACGCTATATATGAAATAAAGGTTAGACCGTGGAGACATGGGAAAACTCCACAAGATTGATATCGTTTTAACACCTTAAGTCTCCCAATTATGGAGATCGATTTGAGTACTTGTTATGCCATAGCCTTAATTTCTCACCCTTTAGTAGTCTCTAAGTAGTTTATTTAATAATCGACACCATCCTAAGCACACACTAAGTAGGAAGCTGATGCAAATAAGTGTATGATCTCAGACTTAAAAAGAAAATTTAGAAAAAAACTGAATGAAAATAAGTGTTCCTTCTAAGTTAGGTGATCCTTACCTGATTACTTAGCCCAACTATGCAAACTTCTTTATTTATTAATACTTAAGCCAATGTGAAAGAAAAAGAAAAAAACATAATGAGATCATAGTCACTAACAGACTATCCTACTATGAGTATGTAAGGATAACAAGCTTAATGTGATTGCGTTAGAATGAAAAATGAAAAAAAGGGGATGAGTGAATTAGGCTTAGGCATAAGGACATGATTCTGATTGGTTTGTATAGTAGGGAAGCTTAATACCGCAATACTGTGAAATGTGTTCCTACGATATCTTAAGTGTGTAAGCGAGTACCTATCGACACGATCTTAGCCGAATTGGAGTTTGTAGCCTAGAATGAGTGTTTGCATGCGTTGTTTTTCATGAGTCCTAATACTTAATGCTGCAAGTTTCTCAAATTCTTTTCATATGTGTAGCATTTTACTTGAGGACAAGCAAATGTTCAAGTGTAGGGGAGTTTGATAACACAAAAAATCACATAGTTTTTGACTCGATTCACATGCACATTTTGTCTGTTTTATGTTTTTTTTACACTTTTATATGGTGTTACATGTGTATTATTCGTATGTTGTAGGTATGACCTAGGTTGAGGAAGGTACAAGAGAAAAAAACAAAAAATGATCAAAAGATGAAGAAAAACCCAAAAATCACAAGTCAAAGTACATTGAAGGCGTAACATGGTCTCATGGCATTTGCCATGGCCTGTGGCGTTCGCCATGGGTACTAATGACCAGGTCTTCCTACTTTCATGCAGGTGGCGTTTGCCATCACCTATGGTGTTTGCCATGCCCTTCTCCCCCAAGGAGCTAGTTAACAACTGTTCTTCCTAAATTCTTTCCAACTCATCCCATGACTTCCTCAACTGCCAGGCCACGAGATTCCATTTAGTTTACACATGTTCCACTATATGAGACTTTGTTTTGAATAAATTTTCATCTTGCTAGTCGTCTGTTTAGGCGTAGATGTTCATTTTACAAGCACTGATCGTTCACATCGAGGGATTAGTGCACTTCAATGCTGAGGAATTTGTATTGCTTGGATCGTTAATCCCGTCGTCATTAATTTACGAGAAGTTTTCCCCTTTTTATTCAAGTCTTTACATTTACTTTTCACATTGCTTCTATTCTCGTAAGTCTTTATACACTTTTATTATTATTATTACCGTGTTTGCATGCCTGTGTTGTTAAATCCGAATATAAATTGCTTGATTATTACATCTATAATGTTTATGAGTTGTATGTTTAAGTTTGACAACATGAGTTGTTTGTACATTATGTCCAACTAAATCCATTGAGTCTGGTATGCGAGGACCATCGTTTCGACGGGACTTGGTAATGATTTGGCGTAACCTTTTACAAATTTATTTTTTTTGTTTCAGTTTTTAATTCTAAATCTAAAAAGGTTTTGCACGACAGTGAGAACATTAAAGTTTCAAGCCAATAGCGCGATAGTGTGAGGCCCGTGCTGGATAGTAAAATGGCACGAGAGTATTCTGTGATTAGGATATGTTGGTTTTCAAAGAGTATTCTGCGACTTAAATGGTTGAGTGACAACAAAACATTTATGGTTTGGAATATAACACGAGTAAATGGCACGAGAGTGTGAGACAAAGGTTTTTAAACTTATTTTTTTCTACTGAAAAGTAATTTAACACATAACTACACCAATGAATTATTAAGTCCCTGAGGTCCACTAGAACCCACATTTCAGTCTCTCCCATTTGATAGATTCCCTAAGTTTTATTTTGCTCTCAATTATAGTTTTAGTTTCTCCCTAATCGAGTTATCCATAGCCTTAGATTTACACATCACCAATAAATAACCATAAGATTGATTACTGGTCCCTGTGAATTTAATATCTTTTAAAACTACGATCGACTCCATGCACTTGCAGATTAGATACGCATCACTTGTTCGATCATAACCCAAGAGACCAAGGTATCTCACTTTCACGTTTTAAGACATATTATATCAGTTTAATATTTGATGAGAGTTCTATCGAAGAAATGAAAATAATAAAAACTAGGTGTTATCTTATGCTTTTACCTGGTCCATTTTTATTTTTCAAAGGTACTGGTTCTACTATGCACGTTATGTATTTTCCTTTATTAAGAAACCTAGATAAAACAAGAGAATATAGTTAGTGTTCCACTTGTTTGTCTTATTTGTATAACTCTTTGTGTAAAAACACAACGAAAAACACATCTACATTTTCTGGATGCGCCATTTTACTCTAAGCATGGGGTTGGTCTAAATTGCCATCCCTAGCGCTCATCAATCACAACAACTTTTCATTCCCGTATGTACAAAAGTAAGTTAATAACTTCATATTAGTTAATTCACTTTGCTAATTATTCTAACTAATTTATTTGAACTTTATTTTTTGTTTAGATGGTCCGCTTGCGGTATGACTTACAATAAATGTCCTAAACATTGTATCATTTAATACCGTCATCTCTTGGATCACTCTATACTTAGAGATGTAATGAAACTAAATGAATCAATTTATTTTGAATATCACCCATTTTATGATTTAATCATTTTCTCTTCTACAATTCATTTGGAATCCATATCTAAACATGTAACACCTACATGAAGTCAGAGAAGAAGATGCAACCGTTTGGACTGCATGCGTGCCGATCATCAGATTCACCACTATGGAGATGCACTAGTGACTGTGTCAAACTACAGTTTGAAATATATCAAAACATTCCATATCCCCCGTCTGACCTCTAATGAACAATGAAACTACCTCGATTGGAAAGATTTTGCTAAATTTGAGTGTCATAAATGGAGGAACCGTCGCGCTCATGTCTTACGTGATCCGGTGATGGCAACCCCTCTATACCAACTAATACTTATATGGCTTGGTACATATGGGTTGCAACTGAGTTTGTCTTCGAAGAGAGATATCTATACGACCCGCGACAAATCACTTACACATAAGAAGCTTCAACGTTTAACCCACGAGAAAATTATCATACCTGTTACTCACAACCTCCTACCTAACAAAATTACCGACCCACAAACACACAAACCCACAATCCAAACATATCAAACACTCAACCACAATACCAAGAGCATCCCCTATACCATCTCGAACAAAATGACTATTATCTAAGGCACCTAAAATGCATGTGCCCAAAATACAACATCAAGATATAGTCAAAACTTCTAAATATCGTAGCATAGCCAAAACGCCCAAACATCATATCATAGTCAAAAACCATAACCCACACACACAAACATCACAACAACCTTATGACTTTCAAACACCACTACCATTTCAAGTTTTTACCAATAAATCCTTCACACCAATGTTCCTTTTAATTGTCCAAACTGCACACTAATGATCTCTTCAACACGTTGAACCGGCAGTGTTTAAAACATCCATTGGAATACATTAAAGTTCCTTCTGAACAAGGTACATATCTCAGTTTATTCTATCGTAAACAGAGTGGAATACATTGCGTCGGAATCGTGTTGCTAATTGCATACCAAACTTGCAAAAATCTCCCTAATCATCCAACAAATATTGGTTCATTCTATCGTAAACAGAGTTCATTCTGTTTGTTCGTGGGTGTGTTGAAAAAAAAAATCCTAGATGTTTGATATTTAACATCTAACTAACAGATTCATAAGAGTAAACAAACTGCGTGTTTATAAGAATCTTAATTAAAAAAAAAAAGAAAGATAGTTCGGAAAAATAGAAATATGGAATTAGTTAATTACAGTAGATGGATGGTGGAAAGTTGTTTAGGATTGTCGACGGTACTTGATGGCAGAAAGTTGTTTAGGATTGTCGGCGGTACTTGATGGCTTTGCGGAAGAGAGCCTGGCGTCCAGGGAATGGCTTGGCAACTTGTTTAATATCAGCAGCAGACACAGTATCGTCCCTGTGTTGGTGTGGTTGTTGTTCAGACACAGTATCGTCCCTGTGTTGTTGTGGTTGTTGTTCAGACACAGTATCGTCCTTGTGTTGTGGTTGTTGTTCTTCATGCGTCGTCCTGGATCTCATATTCAGTTTCTCTCTTCTCTCTATTCTCCTAAGTCTATTAGCAGTAGCAGGTGGGAGATTGGGATCACTGGCGTCTCTTGTCTCCATTCTCCTACGTCTATTAGTAGTAGCAGGTGGGAGATTGGGTTGAGTGGCGGCGGCTTCACTTGGTTTGCGTAGTCTCGGAATTCTCCCTCCTTTAGAAGTGCCCAGAAGGTCGAAATCAACTTTGCTCCAGCCAACTTTGTCAAGAAAATCCCAACCAAACCTGTCGCCTATCTCATGGAGTTGAATATGTGGCCGTTCAGTGGATCTGTATCTGGATCCCTCTCCATCTAACACATAGCGAGCAAACTCCCACTCGATGCGGTCTTTGTAGATCGGATCTACAAGGACTTGATCTGCGAGAATCGCCCATTCCTTGAAATCCCGTACACAGTTTTTTGAAACCCACTTCAGATAGCGTGATGGAAGGCTTCCCAGCATCTTCCCCTTATATTTTCCAAAATCTATTACTATGTCTCTGGCTGGCTTGATTGTCATCGGTGCATGCTGCTGCTGCTTCTTTTGATTTTGATTTGTTATACAACAAGTATTCCTAAACATAACATGCCGCTGCTGCTGCTTTTGATTTTGATTTGTTGTACAAGTATTGCTAAACATAACATGCCGCTGCTGCTGCTTTTGATAACAAGTATTGCTAAACAAAACATGGTGCTGCAATAACGGATACATGATGACCACGCCCGACTTCACAACAAGATGAGATTTTGATGTCTCAAATAAAAGATTTTTCACTCTTCATTGCCTCCACGTGGACTGCTTTCTTTCCACACACTTAACACTATCTATAAACCAAATAAATATTAATAATAAAATGAGTTTTTGTTTGTTTGTTTTAGAAACCATGCACTGATAGCATTTGCAAAAGCCGTTGGTGTGTTTTTGATATGGTGGTGGTGCTTCTTGTTCCTTCACCTTCCAGATGTCTTCATACTCATATCATTATCCATTCCCCACCACCAAACCTCTTCAACCGTATCATTATCCATTCCCCACCACCACACCGCCATCCGCACTGCTCACAATCACCACTTCTCAGACACAGCCTTTCCTGTTCAAGGCTTCAGGAAATTTCTGTTGCCTCAGAGTCATTAGATGAACACCAACACGGGCAGAGTGAAAACATCAACAACAACTCCTCCAAGGAGGTCAAAACCACTTCTAAAATACAAGTGCCCAGACAAAAACACATCCCTGTTTCCAAGTCCCAACTTCGAGATGCCATCCTCTCTATCATGCTTCATCAAGATGCTGCTCATCACTTTCGCCTTCTCACCTCGTAAGTACTCTCTATTTCATTTCAATCAACACTTTCTTTCTTTTATCACCCACAGATGTAAACAACACTTTCTTTCCTTTATCACCCACAGATGTAAACAACACTTTCTTTCTTTTATCACCCACAGATGTTTGGACTCTATACTTCATGCTGAACACAAAACCATCTTAGAGGATATGCGTTCGGATTATCACCTCACCAATTCACTCCAAACTCCGGATGACCACAATAATGGGAACGGGAATGTCTATCAGGACGACATGCAGCAGCTTCAACCACAAAAGTCCTTGCTTTCCGATTATGCTCTCAACCTCGAGACTCTTTTGCGTTCTCTCGACCCCACTCCCAACAACGATTATGACAGGGGCTCCAGGTTTGTTTCTTCCTTTCAATTCAATTCTTTATATTAATAAAGGAAAAACTCTGATTGGAGTTCCTACTCAATAAGTTTGAAATCAATCAAAATTATATCACAAAGACTCCAGGGGAGGTCAGTGTAATTTCTCCTCCCAATAAGACTGGCACTTGGCGAGTGTCGGTGTAAAAAATAAAAAGGAGAACCTGTCTACTCAACCATCTCCTTCTCATTTTCTCCTTTTTTTCTTCTAATTTTGTATCAATGTATTTCCAAAATAATGCTTTGATTAACTCATTTTTCCAAGCTTATTCGCAGAGTTACCATTGCTACTCGTTTCCAACGTTCTTTCATGCAACTTCTTTCTGATGCACAATTCGAAGAACTATCAGCTCGAGATCTAATGTTGACATCTGCATTGAATACAGACTATCTCCTTACCTTGCCAATATATGTTGATTGGGAGAAAGCATATGAGTCTAATGCCATAATATTTAGGTAAGGTAATTTCATATATATATTTTCTGCATGTCTGTTCTTCAATTCAAATTTTTAAATCAAATTTAAAAAATTAATCTTTTTAGATTTCAAAAAGCATAAATGAAATATTTATATGGCATGCTAGAAACTTTTGAAAGGTATATAGTTTCAGTATCAAAGCTTCAAACAACCAGCTTATACTCTATTTCCCTTATTCCATAAACAATTCTCGTATTTCCTTTCCTTTGTGGAGCTATTTGCTGCATAATTGCCCAGGACCGGTGTTTAGGGTTCGGTCAATTCCCTCTTTTTTTTTGGGGTCAGATTCTTCATTTGATGTAGCAATGCTTTATCAATGCACCTGTTTTTACTGTTTATTGTAATGGGAATTTCTTTGTTAGTTTGAAACTTTCCGGTACCATTTTATTTTGTTATATTTGTGTGTTGTTAATTCCTAGTAGATTACTGTCCCAACATTTGTTCTAACTGGCCATATAAGCGTGTGTATTGTTTAGGTAACCTTCTAGATGAAAACATGGACTTGAGTAATACAAAGCAGAGTAGTCAATAGCGGCGCTATCCCGCTGTAGTGGAAAAGAGCAGAGACCGACCGCTATGGGAAGTACCTTAGTGGTGCAGAACACTATAGCAGTCGCTATAGGATAAACAGGGGGATTGCGGAGCAGAGTGGTTCCTGGCCTAGGGCGGTTTCTGACTCGTTACCCTTTTCCCCTCTAAAAAAAATCGAAATTACCTCCTTAAATTTACAATGTTTAAAGGGTAATTCGGGGTTTTTAATCAAATTTGAGTTGAGATTCAATGTTAACCTTCCTTCATAGTCGTTTATGCACTTCAAGAGTTATATGTACGCTTTGATTTATGAATATTTTATGAGTTGAGTTATTTTTTTAATTTTACATTAAATATATGTTTAAAATTATTATATGTAATTTGTCCAAAAATGATCAAATAGAGAAGCCATCCTGCTATTTGCCCTCCCGCTATCCCCCGTTTGGGGTTGGCCGCTCCTATCCGCTATTGAGGAATGACTACTTTGATACAAAAGTTAATTTAGCACATATTTACTCTTTATCTGAGATAAATGTATTATCTTTTTTCTGTTGTAGGCGGGGTTATGCAACTGAGAAGCAGAATGGCCTATTAATTGTTGAAAAACTGGATTACTTACAGTCCAAGCTTCTAGAAACAATCTTCTCTCTTATATCAAAACCACTAGCAAAACTTGGCACCAGGATCAACGAGGTTACTTTTTGCGTGGTAGTTTTGTTATTTACGTACATTGTCGTGCATGAAAATATCATTTATATTTAAAAGATGCATCAATATTACTTAAATGCTTCTAATGTCTTTAAGTTTCTTTAGATATTCAAATGTGTTCGGTATCGGTACCTTAAAATTAAGTATAAACAGTTTTTTAATGATCAAAAAACACACAAGGATTAGGGTTAATAAAGAAAAAAACAACAAAGATTGATTATTAAACTGCTATTCTTTCCTTTCTCTTAGAACAAGATTACAAATATACAATAATAACAAAATAACCTCTCTCTCTTGAAATTAGGATTTTATCTTCCTATTTTTCCTTATTATAAGATTGAGAAACTAGTATTCTATTTATAAGAAAAATAACACACTAATCTAATGAGTTTTTTAACAATTACCCATTACAAGCTAACTTAGAGTACAAGCTAACTTAAACAATTGGGCTTACAAGCAAGGTCCAATTCAACATGCTAACAACCCTAGCAATATTGACTAATGCATGTTAGGACAAATTTTGACTTCAACACGCATTACTCGCGAACAGACTTCGACCATAGTAGAGTTCGATCCAACATCTCACAAATCTCCACCTTGGATCTAACTCTCTAACGTCAAGAAACTAGCTTTCTTCATGCAGCTTATAAAACTGCATACAGGGGAAAAACTTGCAACTGGGCAACGTCTTGGTGATCATATCAGCAGCATTATGATCTGTCAAAACCTTCAGCACTTGGACTTCTCCACTTTCGATTACTCCTCTGATGAAATGCAGCCTCACATCAATGTGCTTGGTTCGCTCATGATAGACTGAATTCTTCGACAGGTTATTGCACTTTGACTATCACATTTAACAGTGATAACCCGACCTTGAAGTTTTAGCTCCTTTGCAAAATCTTCAAGCCATAATGCTTCCTTCACAGCTTCAATTAGGGCAATATACTCCGCTTCAGTGGTTGATAAGGCAACGACCTTCTGAAGTGTTGCTTTCCAACTGATTGTTGTCCCAAACATAGTGAAAACATATCCAGAGATAGATTTTCTAGAATCCATACAATCTGCATAATCAGAGTTGACATATCCTTCAATTGTTGCTTTACTATCTTCACCCAAGGCTCCTCCATAAATTAGGACTCTATTTAGAGACCCATTTATGTACCTTAAAATCCACTTCAATGCTTGCCAGTGAGTCTTTCTAGGATTCGCCATGTACTTGCTTACAAGACTTACTGCATATGCTATGTCGGGTCTAGTACAAACCATAACATACATCAAAGAACCTATTATGTTAGCATATGGAATGCTATTCATATAAGTTCTTTCAACATCAGTGTTGGGACACTGATCTATACTCAACTTGAATTGAGGGTTTGTCGGAGTCACAACAGGCTTTGAATTCGACATACCAAACTTTTCGAGAACCTTCTGTAGGTGTTCCGGTATGGGCCCCACCTCGGCAGGCCCAATACCAAATGCGGCCCAACAAGCGAACTGGGCACGCCTGGCACACGCCCCTTTCGAACGAGCAGGACTGGCCTCCGGGCACAAGCTACATCTCCACGGCCTTTTTGTCGTCCGTCACGCCGAACGAGCAAGACCACCCGGGCTCCCCTCCGCGGGGGAATAACGTGCTCGGCGCACGTTCTCCACGTGCTCCCCTCCGCGGGGACACGTCACCGGCCAACTGCCCACCTCCGAAAGAGCAGGTCAAACCCACTTTCCGGAGATCTAGGAGCGGTTGAACTAGGGCGAAGACCACGTCCTGGTCTTCACTACGCCACGTAAGCCCTAGCAGTCATTAGGGTTGGGCCTGGTCGTCCAGCCCACCTCGAATGACCGTTGGCCCAGCGCTGGGGTCTCTCTATAAATACCCTCTTCTTCAAGAGAGTCAGGTAACTCTTCTTGCCCCTTTTTCTGTACTATTGCTTCCTCTCTGTCCAACTTCTTACTTGGGCGTCGGAGTGCTTTGCAGGTACACCCCCCTCCTCTTTCTTACCCCGGCGAACAGATAAACGTCCAGCGGAGTGTGGCCAGTCCGTGATCCCTCCTGATCAGGTCAGATCAGTGGCGCCGTCTGTGGGAAACTGAAACTTCCCCGTTACTCCGAGCAGAAAACCAAAAGTTTCACCAAACCTCCACGGTCATGGCCAGCCCACGCCGCGATGACACTCCGCACGATCTTGCGCTCAACACCGCCACCAACGGGAAGCAGATAGGAACGGCACGCCTGACGGAAGCCGACGAAAGGGACGGGCGAACTGCTTCACCATCATCCGAGGAACGGCCCCTACAGGCCGACCATCGCCCCCCGAGCCCGCCAGCATTCCACCCCGTTCCCATCCCGGCGGGAGCAGACCCAACGGTAGCCGCTCTCTTTGCAGCCATCAACCAGACGAACCAGCTGCTGTTCCAACAGAACGCTAGAATTGGAGCATTGGAACGCGTCGGCTCCCCGAGGAACCCCGAGGCGGGAACTCAGGCCGAAGATCAAGGACCCGAAACCCGGGACACACCGCGAACGGCTCATCTCCCCTGAGATCCCCGGCGCACAGCGACGAGGATGACTACCGCACCCCACTATCCCGGGAGATCATGGCAGCCCCCATACCCCAGGGAATGGAGAAACCACCGACGCTGTCAACGTACGACGGCACCTCCGACCCGGACGATCATCTGGAAGATATCGAGGCTATGCTCGACTACCGAAATGTCCGGGGAGCTATTAAATGCAGACTCTTCCCGACGACTCTGAGGAAAGGCGCTATGACCTGGTACAAAAGTCTGGAGCCCGAATCAGTTACGTCGTGGAGGGTCTTGAAGGACCTATTCTCCAAACACTTCACGGCGTCCCGGCGTCACCCGAAGACGGAAGCAGTCCTCGGGGCAATCATCCAAGGCCCCGACGAACCTCTCCGGAAATACATCGAAAGGTTTACTCGGGAAGCCGTACAGGTGACGACTTCTGACGAAATGAAACGCTACTTAATGGAACAAGGCCTGCGCCATGACTCCAAATTCTACGAGGCCGTAGGCATACACCGGCCCACGTCCCTCCAAGACTTCCTCGACAGGGCCGCGCATTACATCCGGTTCGAGGAAACCCAAGCGGCCAACTCCGCTCGCGACACCCGAGACAGAGAAGCCCCCCGCGGGCACCGAGACGACGGAGCTTCGAGCCACCGACGAGGAGGGGACCGCCGTCGGGATGACCTCCCCCGCGAACCCCGCGAACAGCGCGAGCCACGCGGCCCGGCAGGAAGATTCACCGAATACACCGCCTTGGTCGCCTCACGCGAACGCATACTGGCCGAATGCGCTAAAACCGAGTTTGTGCAGGGAGGTGTCCGTTTTCCACGACCAACGCCGCCCAAACCCAACGTGGACGAGTCAAAGTACTGTCGGTTCCACAGGACCCACGGGCATGTAACGGAAGACTGCATTCATCTCAAAGATGCGATCGAAATCCTAATCAAAGACGGGCACCTAAAGCGATACACCCGAGGAGGTGAACCACCCAGGTCAGAGGCTCCGGAGGCTAAGAAAATCGAGGAACTCCCCTCTCCAGAGGACGGCGAGAGACTCCAGGTCGCGCTGTGCGTCAGCCGCCCCGAGGATTGGTTCGCGAGCAAAGGATTCGGCATCCCCGAAGGACCCAGCCTAGTCGACGAGCCAGTCCGACCAACCAGCCGATGGGAATACTTCCCCAGAGCCATGGTCATCTCTGATGGAGCTACGAGGAGTCTGTCCGTAGGATCTGTGAAAAGGAAATTCGACGAACTCATCGCGGGCAACTCCGGCAAGATGAGCACGCTCGACAGATTCCGGGGCCGCTCCAACCCGATCACATTCTACCTCGAAGAACTACCCGGGGGATCTCCCAATTCCAACATACCCTTGCTCATACGTGCACGAATGGCAAACTTCGACGTCAGGCGCCTCCTCGTCGACGGTGGGAGCTCGGTTGACATAATGTACTCACATTTGTTCACAACTCTCCAGCTCGACGAATCCAACCTCTCCCCCTACGTAGGCTCCGACCTCTAGGGGTTCAACGGGACGACGACGAGACCCTGGGGATACGTGGAACTGAAAGTCACCTTTGGGGAAGAGGAAACGGCCAGAGACATCAGCGTCCGCTTCTTAGTCATCGAATGCCCGTCCCTATATAACTGCATCCTGGGCAGGACGACGATAGCAGAACTCACCGCGGTACCCTCCACCGTCCACCTGAAGATGAAATATTACACGAGAAGGGGAGCCGTGGTCACCCTCAACGGCGACATCGAAGCTGCCCGAAGGTGTTTCGAAGTCGCGCTGAAAGGCCTCGACTCCATCGCTCCACCGACCAAAAAGAAAGCGCCAAGCGCTACACCAAAGGACAAACCAACAGAGCTGGTCGGATCCGTTGAGCTCGACAGTCGCTTCACCGACGAGCTCGACAATAAAAAGACTGACGAAGCCAACGGGCAGCCCCCGCACCCAGCGCGCCCCATCCCGGATGGCGAATTCGAGCTCATTCCCCTCGGGGAAGACACAACCAGAACCGTGAGGATAGGCGCAGGACTCCCCGACCTCGCGAAACGACAGCTCCAAGCCTGCCTCCGCGAGAATGCCGACCTCTTCGCCTGGAGCGCCGCGGAAATGCCGGGACTCGACCCTGAGGTCGCCTGCCACCAGCTGTCCATCAACCCAACCGCAAAGGCCGTGATACAACGCCGACGTCGCCAGTCCCCCGAAAAATCGGCAGCAGCCGAACAAGCTGTAAAAGACCTCTTAGAGGCAAATTTTATTTCGGAAGCCCGGTATTCCACCTGGCTGTCCAACGTTGTACTTGTTAAAAAGAATAATGGAAAATGGCGCATGTGTGTTGACTACACTGACCTCAATCGGGCATGTCCTAAGGACGCCTACCCCCTCCCCAATATCGACAAGCTCGTCGACAACTCGGCGGGCTACAAACTCTTATCCTTCATGGACGCATA